GTTGAATAGAGCTCTCTTATCTTCCGCGTTACACAACGGAAGATGTGAGCAACGCCGCTGCATGTCACGCATGATGTGTACCCGGAATCAAACAATGTTCGCATTGGGGTACGCATTGCGAAACGCATTCACTTGCGCGGTACACTTGTCCAGCACCAAAGTCCGAGCACCGGCAAGCGCCGGGGCCAAATCCAGCATACCCCTCACTGCCTCCTCGTAAGCAACCTCGGTCTCATAAGGCAACAGAGCATAAAAGAAACTCATACCCAGGCCGCTAACGTCCACAAACATGCAATGCCACAGGATGTAGCTGCCGTAATTGATCTGATACGTGGAGTCCGCCAAAACTGCCTCCCCGTATTGGCCCACCAAATCAAGCATGCGCGAAGGTACGAAAAACAGGTACCGAATCTGATTCCCCTAATGAATAATTTTCACCTGACCATTTCTTTGCAACAGCTGCGTCACCTCCTCCACCTCAGTGACACCGGCATTACGATGGCGCCGCCGTGTGACATACAAATCCCTCCTTGTTAAACGAATGTCATATTGCTGCCGCACAAAGGCACGCATCTCCTGGGTCCGACGAAACGTACTCATTAAGTTAAGCACCGGCCGCTCCTGATCTTCTGTTAGCCTCCGATTTCTCACATACAGCCAAGGCTTCCCAACGTGAAAGCTGTGCGAATACCACAGATACGCATTCCCAATTTCGTAACATTCGCCCTTATACGTCACAGAAAAACGCGCAGGGTAATCGTAACATCGGTACCTATAGTAATCTTATCATTAGGCAATTACAATGCACATACCGCTTTCCAGTAACATTGCTGCGCCTCCTATGCAAAGATACAAACAAAATATACCGGTATGGGAATCCTTCCGGTAGCACCTGTCCAGTCCCCCTTTCGTACGCCTTCGCAGTTTGAACGCTCCGACGAACAAACGACGTCGCCGTTTCAATCTGAAACACTTTCAGATCCTACTTCACCGATGCGAAGTCCAGATAAGGACCCTTAAGCGTCCGTCGGAATACAAGCTACGCGTGAGGCGGGAAAATGATTAACCATTGTAACGCATTTAAACCCCTTAGTAAATTGATTACTAATTGAGGTCGTAGGATTTCAGCAAGCATCCTCAATTATTAATAAACAACACTATGAGTTCAATGTCCCCAAATCTACCTCACATCACCTGCAACCCTGTGTACCGCAATAACACTGCCGAAGGAGCGTTATTTCCAAGTGGCGGATAGGACGCTGTCGTTGGTTGCCGCTTGGTTTAACTTTTGGATACATCCCCGCGCCTCACCTGTAAGTGCAACAAACTTCCTGCACAGCTTGCTACGGGAACAGTGCGGACTGTTCGCACCAATATTTTCCCGTTTCAACACCGTAGGGAGGACACGGGTGAGAGCGCGGTAATGTCCGATTGCGTCGTTCTCCCCCAGCAACTGCATCAGGTTTCACATACTGGTCTCGCAGATGACTGACTCGCCACCTACAGTTCTCATGTAGATCGAAGTACGGTTAACATAGCCACAAATATCTGTCTAACAACACCGCGACTTGGCGGATCTGGTTCTCCAGTAAATAAAATCCCTGCTACTTGCCATTTCGGAGGACCTTACACACAGCACGGATGTCACCCAACTTGAACTCTTCTTATGCTCTTTCTTCAATAATGCAGCCGTCGAGAACAACACCAGGTCAAATTAACAACTTCAATCAACATGACTGCTTGCACCTACACACAAACAACTACATGCCTACATATACATATGTTACTGGTTAACCTGTAAGTTCTGTGTGCGATTACCTTTCTTACATGTTCGCATTACCATGTTCTTACAGGCGTGACTGGCACTGCAGAGAATAAACCATTTTTATTTATTATTTAGGCGACAATGTAGCGGTCTGGAGATTCACGGTTTGTCTGTGGAAAATTCCAACTGTAACCATTTCACTGCACACTTAGGTGAGCAATCCGGATTGTTGCGCTTGTTACTGCGTTCGATTGTTTGTTTGGGCATCGCCATTTTTCTTGGAGTCCGGATCGATTGCAACGGGCAATTTTCTAGTGTGCTGCGCATGCTGCTTTCCCTGGCTAGTGTTGCGTAACGATAGCGTTTATTTATTGTTAGGCAAACAGGGAACAGTTTCTGTACAAATGAAGTTTACCCTGCGACTCGCTCTGTATTCTGGAAGCACTCATTGGACTCCCGTTTAAGGCAACAGGCTAAAAGCGAACTTGGTTTAACAAAGGGTGGCTCGGTTGTTCTGTTTTCGATCCGTCAAGACTCAGCATACCTCCACAATTCCTGAATTAACGACCTGGCCTTTAATTACGGCCACGAGATTTTCCGGGTGTTCCAGCTCCACTTGAGGTTGCAATGCATCTTGCGCATCGCACTGGGTATCAATTTGCAGTTGGTTGCCTAACTACGGAGGTGAGCAGCCAGGCTGTGGACGACGTCCATAAAGTAGTAGTGCTGCTACATGTCTTCCTAAACCCACTTGGAAATTATAGTGGGTCAACCTTATCTTCTGCATCATACCTCTCAAGTAGCTATACAAAGCAGGAACTTATTATCACGATGCCAGATGTCGACACAGTGTTGGCTAGTTTGGGCCCTTATAACTCAGTTGTTCCTGACAGTGTACATCCCGCCATTGTTAGGGCAATGGGTGGCAGGCTTCAGCTTCTTGTCGCGCGATAACTCAACCAGCCTCCTAAGGAATGCGCACTGCTGATGATTCCCGAAAGGATGAAACGCGCGTACAGTGCTTTTCCGGGCTTGTGGCGGCTGTCGGAGTGAGCCTAGATGTGACAAAGTTCTACCTATACCATTCAACTTCCCCTACTACTCTTCTGTAATGAGTACGCAGAAAACTGCTTATAATGCCCTAAGCTACCACGTGAGTGGAAGGGGCCACCATTGTTGCTATCCACAAGGGGTTCTTAGTCGGCGCCTATGAAATATAGTCCTGTTAGTTTGAACAGCAGTAAGCTAAGGTGCTTGGAAAAGCTTGCAAGAAGCAGGATCTGTGGGCACTTGACTGCGCACAATCTAAGTAGAGCAGAACAGCATGGCTACCTTAAAATGCTATCGTGTATTCCTAAATTATTGTACGTTTTAGAGTTGATTACCTGGTGTCTTGAGAGTGAGATGTCGGTAGACGGGTGCTATTTGGACTTCCGTAAAGCATTGGGCGCAGTGAATCATCAGTTTTTACTTGAGAAACTGACCTGGTTTGGCTTGTATCCTCAACTGTCACTGTGGCTTTCTGAATACTTGCGTAGGAAAACATTCAGGGTTCGGGTTGGGGAAGCGATTTCTAGCGTGGGCCCTTCCCGCAGTGACGCCCCCAAGGTTCGGTACTGGGTTCATTATTGTTTATTATGTTTATAAACTACCTGGCTCCATTTCTTGAAGAGTAGTGTTATATATTCGCAGATGCTTTGAAGCTGGTTAGTAGGGGAATTGTTCGTGCTAATGGGGTTTACCCATAAATGCCTATAAATGCAACCTATTAACCAATAGTGGTAACGGAATTGCAGTGCAGTCTCCTACGGTATCTCCATCATGGTAGTGTACTGATGAAGCCAGCGATTTAAGTGTTATCATAGTGAACAGGTTTAGGCCTTCAGCGCAATGTCGCTATGCTGCCGCTAAAGCGCGACAAGCGTTCTTTCGCCTCAGAAGGGCGCTGAGTAACCCTAACCCAGTAGTATTCTTTCCGTTAGAAAAAACAGTGGTTGAGCCACATCTGGAGTACTGGGTTCAGGCCTGGGCACCGGAGCTGCGTAGTGACGATTTGTGTATAGAAAATAATCAGGAACTTGCGACGAGGATGATCGAAGGTCAACGGGGTAAGTCGTTCGCAGCTCGTCTAAGTAGCTTAGGCTTACATTCCTTGTAATGGCTAAAATTGCAAAGGGATTTGATTGGCGTATTTAAAATGGTTAAAGGACTCAGCGGTATGAAGCATACTCGTCTGTTTAAGTTAGCTACGACGGACTGCCTGCGCGGGCATCGCCTGAATCGCAAATTGCATAGGGCTCGTTAGGAAAGCAGGGCCGTAGCGCCCAACATGCTAACCGATATATTTTATGTATTATTTAAGTGTTGACCAATTGTACTTTATATTTTGTTTTAATCTTGCTTACAACCAGCTCGACACTCGACCGCATTGTAAGTCCCTGCGCTAATGTGTACCCTCTTCTTTGTTTCATGCGCCCGCGTCTTTTTGTAGCTCATCGAATACAGTCCGCTGTGGCCGACTCCAATTGCCCTCTGATATCCGAGCGTAATTTCGCGCAACTTCTCGGACTGGTATTTACTAGTCCTACAAGGCGAAAACTTTTACACACCGAGTAGGTAACATCCGAAATTAATTGCTTTCGGCTTTGGTGGAATGTGAGACTGTAGCAGTCGTCAAAATGGGATTAGGTAGATGTTGATCTGACCTTTTCCAGAGAGATTGTAATTAACTGGAATATGTAATGTATTCTGATGCAAACATAGGAAAGTGTAGAGCTTACGCTTGTTCTTGCTTCATTATTTGTAGAAGTAAGAAGAGTCGATCCAACGTCGAATTGCCCGTGGTTGTTGTTCACTTGCTGGCACATGAAACAGGACGCAATTCAAGCGAGAGCCGCTATCTATCGTGTTACCTGGTCTGACCTGACATGAGAACCGTGCATTGCGTGACTAGACTAGTTAGAACAAGGAACTACAACTCGTAAAATTATATAGAACCTAAGCCTTAATTTTGTCGGTAAAAGTCCCCAAAATATGGCTGACTAACTCTGGAGGCCTGAAGGTTCGCATCCAAGGCGCTCCAATCGTCACTCCAGCAGTTACGATACTTTAAGCTTTTCGGTAAGACAGCTGATGCCGAAAAAATAGGTATAAAAATTGGTACTTAGCAATTTTGTTAGGCACTATAAGTTTTGTTTTTATGCACTATTATCCATCAGTACACGAAATCCTATACGCAAAGGAAAGCGTATTTTCAAGTGGCCCAGATGGTTTAGAGAAACCTATGGCTGAGTTAGCAGCCATCATAAAGGAAGTTGCAGAACAACTGTAAGGAAACACCGGCCCATGTCATCTCGATAGAGTCGTGTATTTCGCGCAGCGGAGACTTGAAGTGGGATGGGACGATTCACTTCCTAAACCAATTGTTGGACATTTACTACCAGTAAGATTCATTGGTAAAGATTATATTTGCCTTGAGAAACCACATCTTGCAAACTCAAGAGCCCTGATGAGTCTACATAGCTTTCCAGAATTACGCAATCTACTGGCAACCTTGGAATTAGTATGCGGCTTATACAAAGTTAATATTCCTAGGACGGAATGTTAGTTGATGAATCGAAGACCGAAGAGTATATTAAAAGCGCGCTTGAAGAGTGCATAGCCAAAATGAACTTTTTGGTCAGTCTTCTGTATCTTCGTTTAAAGAATGCTTCAGACGCATCGTGATCTGTGGCGCACATTCGGCCACGATATAAAGGTATTGCGTGAATTTTCCATGCTGGTCAGTTTGTCTTCTAGAGTAACTCACAAAAGCTACTACTAAACTCTGGACCATATGGAAAGGAAGGAGGGGCGTTTGCATTTCCGTGAGCTGTTTGCCGTTGTATGACATCAACATACGAATTCCAGGCCATTAGCAACTTGTAACTTAGCGTACCGAAGATCCATGGCCCCCACAATCAGCCATACAAGCGCTGAGCGCATTGTGCAATATGTAGCTAGGATGATTGCGAACCTGGTAAGACCTAAGTCGCAAAACGTATTGGCTTTTACTCTCCAATAATGCTGGAACATTAATTTGATTTTTTCCTTAGTTTTGTTGAATGCTTACAATAGTTCAGCGATTTCCTTTAATTAAAATGCCTCAGTCCCAACAATACATGTCACTATTTACCAGATGTTAAATAGGGATATAAACTTTTCTAATGGAGCCAACAAAATCTATACAGCTGTATAATTTCATTGCTTACCACATACCAAATTGATAGCAGTGCCTGAGGAGCGCACGGTGAGCATCAAGAAGAAGGTTGATGGGTGACGGATGATGCTGATTGGCAAAATTGGTGTCAATCATCAGACGCACCTCGTGGAAAATTAGCAGGATCAACTTCATAAGTTACATTTCCTCAGATTTTGACCCTTATAAGCGTAACTTAACCTCATTAAATCCCCTTTCACTACCACTGACTACACGTGGTTGCAAGTACACACATCTAGCGATATAAATAAAGTGCAGCAAACAAGTAGTATTATCGAACAAATAAGTTGTGGAAAAAAGTTGCTGTCAAAACGTTTCGTCTACTTCCGTAGACACGGTTTCAGTATCAAATATACTACTGAAATTTTAATGCACCTGTACACAACACGATTACATTTTACGATCTGACGAATACAGAAAAAGCGAAAAGTCTTAGCTGTGAGGTAACATTCATTTTGCAAAGCTTCCAACCACATATCATCCGGAGTCTTAGATATACAAAACGCAGTCATGTGTGATCCATAGGTAGTCAATCGTTACGAATCGCGCAGCAACCGTAAGCTAAGATACACAGCCAGCAGTTTGTGCATACAAAGTCATGGTCGTTCTAGATCGTTGACGATGGCTTCCAATAGCCTGCGAATATGAGGCCACTAACTGTGCATCAAGACGGTGAATGAATCACCAGGCTTAACTCGGTGGCTGATGCTCAGCAAGTGCCTTTTGATTGCCGGCAGCACGATTTTTCAACGCACGTGATTTCGTTGTCACTGATCCTATCCGACTGCGAAGCCAGTGAGGAATGTGCTCCTTAATCCTAACACCTGAACTTTGGTTAGTGCGCCCAACCTAGTTGTCTCCGCAGAGAGACGAATTTGTATAAGCACTGAAACGTGTACTGCTTTGTTATTTGTGTCTTGATGAAACACATAAATAGAGTTGTTTTGACGTGGGCAACGGTAGTTCAGTTGTATTGTACGCCCTTTACACTGAAACACTATTGCGTTTCGCGGTGCTGTTCATAATATGATTACCTTCGAATGGACGTTCGATGACGACCAGCTTCTTTTTTACTGTTAGTACACCATCTCGCTTGGTAACGTCGCTGATGCGCTTTACAACTGCATCGCAGGACCGTTCGGCTGTAGTGTCCTGAATAGTACATCTTTGCTTTTAAGGTATCCTGACTGTAAATCATGCAAACTCGATTAAACGGCATGCGGACGAGGGGGTGTTTATGTTTTATGGGGAAGAAACTCATAACATGCAAATACTGACCTGTTCATGTTGCTTGGTGCATAATGTGCCAGTCTTCGCTCTCGATCGGCTGCAAACTGAAGCACTATTCCTCGGACCAGTATTCAAAACACCACCCCGTCAAAGTTACAAAGCGTCTATAGGTGCAAACTCTCAGAATCTTTACAGCCAGCTTATGATCCTTAATCTGGCATCTCCCACCACGGACTCTTGGTTAAGGCACAAAGTAGTGGATATTTCATATTATTTTTTCAGCGCCCTCATACAACAGCAGACGTGTCGCATTTGAGACCATTATAAAGCAACCCATATGCTAGAACGTAACGAAAACATTGTTATATTGAAGCTTGTTAAGGGGTTCGGTATGGTCATCCTGGACTGACCAGATTATTTATATAAAACGGAGGCCATACTGTCTGACGGTACAAGAGTTAAGCCGGCTACTGTCTTTGATAGTGCTTATTTAGCCAAGAAGCAGTTGCTAACATTTAATGGTTCTATCTCGGAAGACCACTGTATAACATCAAAACCTGTAAGCGCACATACACTACATATGTACGGTTTGCCCAAAGTGTCCATGCGACCAATCATTTCCGTGGTCAATTGACTATATCACGCCATTGGCGAATGGATGAAGAACACGCTTGAACCTATCAGACAATCGATAGTAATGCATACCTTAGCAAACACTTTAATCTATTGCCTTCCTTTGAATGTGTAAAACTGACCAAATAGCGAATGTGTTTTTTGTTGAACAGTCCCATTTCACTAACATTACACTGAACAAGCCTGTTGTTTATCTGCGAGTTTATCCCAAAACAAAATATCCAACAGCTAATCCTCGCGGAACTGTTGCAGTATACGCTTCTTTTGTGCACGAAAAACTAAGTTTTACTGTCAACGGAAAGTACAATAACAGATAGTTGGTTTATATTCATAGGCGTGCTTGAAGAGAAGAAAGATTTCATAAAATCGGCGATCCTATAAAAGAGCTATGCAGACGGTATACAGTTAATCATGGAACCTGACGAGACGTTGTGTGTGATGACGGGACAATCAACAGGATGCACCCGAAATTTACAATGACGTTGCCATAGAGCAAAACAATTGGCTCCCACACTTAGCTACACTGATCACACGGCAATTGGGTGGTTTGGGAAGGTCAAGCTACCGAACAGCAACATAAACAGCTCAGTATTTGCATGTTATGAGTTTCTTCCCCATAACACCTAAACACTCCCTCGTCCGCATGCCGTTTAATCGAGTTTACATGATTTACAGTCAGGATACCTTATTCAGGACACTACAGCCGAACGGTCCTGCGATGCAGTTGTAAAGCGCATCAGCGACGTTACCAAGCGAGATGGTGTACTAACAGTAAAAAAGAAGCTGGTCGTCATCGAACGTCCATTCGAAGGTAATCATATTATGAACAGCACCGCGAAACGCAATAGTGTTTCAGTGTAAAGGGCGTACAATACAACTGAACTACCGTTGCCCACGTCAAAACAACTCTATTTATGTGTTTCATCAAGACACAAATAACAAAGCAGTACACGTTTCAGTGCTTATACAAATTCGTCTCTCTGCGGAGACAACTAGGTTGGGCGCACTAACCATCATCATCATTACACGTTAGCTGGAGGTGGAAAACACCTCAGCTATTGTGCCGCAATACAAAAGACAAGAAAAGAAAAAACAAGCAAACAGTGGCACGCCCGCTGAGTCCCCAGTAACGGATGGACATCGTTCCGGAGAGCTAACAGCTGGCTGCCGTAAAAGAAAGTCATATTATGCCTAACGACTGAGATCGTGATTGGAGGGGGGTGCTAAACAGGAGGGGGATGGACAAAGAAACTCACAACACAAACGCCATTGGGGCCGGCTCCTAGCCATATCAGCAAGTGTGTCCAGCCAAACGTGTTCACCGTCCTTAGGACCCCAGCCAGGCAGTCGGGATGCACCAACCAAAGTTCAGGTGTTAGGATTAAGGAGCACATTCCTCACTGGCTTCGCAGTCGGATAGGATCAGTGACAACGAAATCACGTGCGTTGGAAAATCGTGCTGCCGGCAATCAAAAGGCACTTGCTGAGCATCAGCCACCGAGTTAAGCCTGGTGATTCATTCACCGTCTTGATGCACAGTTAGCGGCCTCATATTCGCAGGCTATTGGAAGCCATCGTCAACGATCTAGAACGACTATGACTTTGTATGCACAAACTGCTGGCTGTGTATCTTAGCTTACCGTTGCTGCGCGATTCGTAACGATTGACTACCTATGGATCACACATGACTACGTTTTGTATATCTAAGGCTCTTGCATGATAGGTGTTTGTGGAGCTTGTGCGAAAAGACTTGTTACGTCTGCTGCTTTTGCTGTTTGGAATTAGAATGGAAATGCGCGATAACCATATGTGCGGAACACACCTCAGCTGATGTGCCGCAATATAAAATGATAAGATATTAAACAGTGCGGACCAAGCTTGCTAAGAAAGGTAGCATAATTCTAACAATCTCATTACCCGTTAAGCTTGGAGATCGTATTTTTAGGGGGAAGCTATAAAGGAGGGGAGGGACAAAGAAACTCCCAATACAAAAATCATTGTTGTCGGGTTTTGGCCAAGGCGCCTAGTGTATCCAACCCAGCGTGTTCTATGTTTTTTGGAACACAAGCTAGCAGTAGGGAAACATCAACCGATGCCAGATCCAAAGTGAGGGACTTCAATCCTCTTGACTAGGTCATCGCTTGGCGTCCACTCTTCTTCTTCCATCCACTTCCTGATCGCACAGTCAATGTACGATGCGGGAGAAAGTGTGCTGGCATGCACAACACGCGGTCCAGCCACTGGTGCCTGTTTCGTAGTGTCGTAGCGCTGAATGGATCACTTGCTCTTCCTGCGCGAAATGCGGGACCCCCAAGTCCTACCAGACATGAGCTAAGTTGGTAAGTTTGCGATGGTCGAAGTTGGCAATACTCTTTCTGCCTCTCGACCTTATGCGCCCGGTTTCGCAATCATATAAGAAGGTAGAATGGACGGCTGCATTGTAAACTCTGCTTTTCAGGACGGGAGTATCGTGGCACCTGCTGCAGAGGTGGCGGAGTTTGGCAACAGCACCTCAAGCTTGATCTATACGGTTCGTGACCACATCTTCACTTATCTGGTCGCTAAAATAGCTGCCCAGAGATCTAAATTGCTGAACGACTTCTAGCTGATCAACGCCAAAAGTCAGCGCAAGGGCGAATTTCTGCCAATCCTGGAGAAGGACTTTGCATTCAAAACGCGCAAAATATAGCCTGCTACGACTGACAGCCGGTGTTGATTTCGCCAGTGTAACGGCACGTTTGTGATCTGTCACAGATGAGCGGAATATCATCGTCATATTCTAGGTCGATAAGTTGCTCATTCGCGTGCATCTTCACAACTTCTAAGCTGTCCCCGGCAAACGTTGTCCACATGACTTGGTCAATAACGAAGTTAAAGAGGAAAAGTGACGGGGAGCA